GCCTAGCCCAGACCCCTCCCACCACCCTATGTACCAACAGGGGTGATGCCATTCCTAACTTGGCTCTCACTCGTAGTGTCAGAGATGGCTGAGAGCAGCCCCCATGCCATCTCCCCTTCTCCCCACTCACAATATCTGTGCACACACCAGGACACTCTTTGAGAGAAGGCCTATTTATTTATTAGGTCCATCTTTTTCTGGGCATAAGCCTACCAAGGGAACTAGAAGCCTCCCTTAATCATGGAGGCCAGTATAGGCTTAATGTGAGAGGGATAAGGACAAAAAGGGGTTAAAGAAAAACTTGCCTTGGGGCAGGTGCGGTGGGGGGGCCTGCCTGGAGCAGATCAGTGAGCAGCTGAAGCAACTTTTCAAGGAGTAGCTCAGCTGTGCATAGGCAGCTCAGCAGTTAGAAGGGGGCAAGAACAGCAGTTTAAGGAGGACAAGAGAGAAAGGGAGGAGTCAGGATGCTCAGCGGATCCAGTTGCAGTTCAGGGGTACAGGGACTGGTACAGATCTCAAAGGGAGGCAGAGCAGAAGCCTCCCCATGGCCCCACAGATCGGGTGAATGTGTTCTGGAGCAGGAAGGGGTGTACAGCGGTAATACAGGAGCAAGAATTTGATTCCTAAAGCTTGTTATCAAAAGGCAAACAGAGAGCATATCTGAACCCAAGTAGCAAAGAAGTGCTAAGTGAGATTTAAAAGAAAGAGATAGAAATTAACTCTTTCCTGCCAGTAGCACTCAGCTAGATAAGGTGGTACAGTTGCACCTTGTAAGTTATGAGTTAGTTTATAGTTTGTTATACTTTAATATTCATCAGGAAGGTGCAATACAGATAAGGCCATGTGCTCTGACATGCAGTAGTCATAAATCTGGGGTATTTAAGATGTGGAAGGGAGTCTGAAGAATCTGAAGAGAACAGGACCAGGACTGTGATGGCTTAGACAAGCCATTTATTGGACAAGACACTAAACATCAAATTGGCATAAGGCTGGGGTGTGAGAGGTGGCGGAGCCCCAGAATCTTATACCAGAAGAAAATTCACTGGTCTTCAAATCCAAGGAGTTAAAGGTGAGGAAAAAGGGGGAGGGGGCTGTGGCTGGACTGAACACGTCCTAAGTTATCAGACCCAAAAAAACCCACATGGCAGGCAACTTTATCAAAATTGCAACCCAAAACTCCTGAGATAAGAAGGCCTGGTGGCTTTTCTTGGAACGAGGTCTAACTACAAGTACTGGCAAGGGAGGAAAAGAGACTCTGAGTCAACATATAACAATTGATTACTCAGGACAACTAAAGAGAAAACAAGCATTGGGATATGGATCACCGGTTTATATGAGTGTTTCTCTGTGGGCCACCAAGCAGAGCACACCAGCCAGCATCCACTGTCCCTTGAATGAGTCCAAGGAGCCAGCAGACGTTGCCCAGTGAAATTCTGCCACGAGACATGAATGGATGAGGGATAGGAAAACAGCCCCACAGTTGCCTGGGTTCTCCCTAGCCAGAGCCTCCTTCCTGGTCTCATACATAGTGAGCTTGGCTAGAGCCAGGAGGAGGTTGACTAGGAAAGTTCCAGGACTCGACGAGGCCACAACTGCAGGGTGCATAAAAGAAAAGGTGTGGAGAGAAGTGCAGCCAGAAACTCAGGTGGAGGTTTCTGAATAGGTGGTAAAGGGCTACAGCCTGGCACATTTGAGGTAGATGTGCAGGGTCTCCCTCAGCCTGCCGAAGGGGAAGGTGCCCTGCAAGGGGAGGAAGTAGTTGCACTCACAGGGTCACTTCAGTCCAGTCAACGCACCCTAGTGACCCCCATAGGCGGAGGGAGAAAATATTATTGGGGGGGGCTGAGTAAAACTTAATCTTAAAATATGCTTCTAACACATGCAGAGACACAGAGACAGGCACACAGACAGGCACAGAGACACACACACCACCCAGCAGGTAAATGTGTGGATGGGAAGGGGAGGGGAGGGGAGGGAATGGGTGTTGGGGGGGCAAATTGAGGCTTAACGAGGGAGAGAGTGAGGCAGGGGTGAATGGGACCCCAAGGCTAGCCTGGTTCTGGGACAGTCACAGCCCAGACAGCTCATCCAGGGTATGTGGGGGGTGCTCCCATCTCTGTGCACACCCCCAGGGCAGGCATGGGTGGTACAGGCCCACCCAATCTGTGTGCAGGGCTTCACAGAGGCAGCTGCCACTGCGGTCTAGGCTCTGCACCCCACTGCCAGTGCCCTGGCAGTTGCACGATGCCATATACCCGCCCCTGCCAGGTGGGCAGGGGACAAGGCGCAGCCAGCTCACAGGAGGCACGTGGCATTGCATGTCTGCTGGTGCACCAACAGCAGGTCTCAGAGCCCAGTCTGCAGAGGCAGCTGTCTCTGCAGAGCCCTGTGCACAAATCCTGAGGGCACATGCCCCCCATGCCTGCCCCAGGGGTGCACACCATGGTGGGAGCGCCCCCCCGCCCCCCCCGAACAAGCCGCGCAGGCTCAGCAGGAGCTGTATGAGCTTTTCAGACAGGAAGGACAAGTCCAGTAGTGAGAGTAAAAGGCCTGAAAGGGGACATTATACTGGATAATTCTTATAAAACATTCAAATATTGTATTTTGCAGCTTTAGCTTAAAATTCTTAGTAGTGATTGATTCAACTAAATGTGTTACATGCAAGTTTGCTTTAATAGATATATTTCTGTTATGTTTCTTAGATGAGTTGTAAAAACAAAGCAGCCTTATCAATGAAGACAATGAAAGAAGGAGAGAAGAAAACAGGCTGGTGGCAAACAGAAGGAAGGAAATAAGAAATCTCCCCTTCCAGAAGTGTAATTTTCACAAGAACATAAATCTCACACAGTTGACACCTTGTTGCCAAAGTCTGGTTCCCAAACTCTCAGTGAAATGAAGAAATGTAAAGAAACCAGTTAGAGAATAAAACATATATAACATATTTATCTGAATATAAAAGACAAAGTGAATTTAAAATTATTCCCCCAGAATAATTAGATTCTATACATGAAAAATGTACAAATGTATTATAATTTTCCATATATGGAATCTCATTATTGGAGGATCATCTTAAAATTTGTACCCCTTACTACTGCAGGTGGTAGGGGGCAGAGATGATAAGAGGGGCGGTAATGGGCAGGTAGTAGGGAGACAGACCATGAGGGAAACAATAGAGGGGAATGTGGTAGGGCAGGCAGTGGAGAGGCAATAGTAGGGTAGGCAGTGGTGGACAGGCAGTAGGCAGGCAGGTAGTAGGGAACAAGCAGTGTGGAGACAGTGGGGCAGGCAGTGAGAGGGAAGCAGCTTGCACCCTGCTATCTGCCCCTTTGCCCATTAAGGCTGCCTGGATCCCCCTTCCTCTGTCCCCTCTTCTCCCCTCCATGCCACTTCTGACCCCCACAGCCTCAGGTCCCTGCCTCCCTTCCTCTCATTTCCCCCCCACCCCATCATAAGTCTTCCCCACTCCTGCCCCTCCACCCCCTCTCCTTACCTTTGCTCCATGCTGGCAGATGACATCCCTGCTGCACCCTGGGGCAATGAGCATGGCTCCAGCCCAGCCCCATAGCAGCAGGGGGCTCCAACCCTGTGTGGGGCCAGAGCCATGGCAGCTTTCCCCCTGCTACCTTATACTTGATTGTAAGGCAAAGGGGCTTTCTTCCCCATGCTAAATGGCAGGGAGCGGGTGGGGGGGACGACCTCATCTTCTAAATCGAGCAAATATGGTAAATGCAGCATATCAACCCAAGGAAAGGTATTAGGGAACTCAACAAATTTGAGACGATATACTGCCATTCTGCATCCCACTCCCCTCCCCACTCCTGGGTATCCCTAGCCAGAATGGGTGAGAATCTGTGGCTATGGACAGATGCATATTTTTAGCACTACAAGTGGTGTAGGCACTGTAAACAGAGGACATTACAAGATGCACGCAGGCAAATTCCTCTGAGAGGGACCTCTGCTAAAGAAAGTAATAAGTACCAATGGTTCATCTAGCCCACTATCCTGTCTCTGACAATGGCAGAAATGGATCCTGTAGGAGAGCATTGACCCAGATACCTCTAGAGTGATCCATCCCCTATTCAATACCACCAGCCCCAGCCCTGACATTCACCTTTATTGGTTTAGAGATGCCAGAGGAAACATCTCCACTCATTCAGTTCAATACACATTAATAGATCCATCATCCATTAATTTATCCAGTCCTATTTTTCTGTCTGCCTCCATCACTTCCTGTGGCAATGAATTCCACATTTTAACTATGCATTGTGTAAAAAAAAAAATTATTCCTCCCATTACTTTTAAACTTGTCATCTACTAATTTCAGTGAGTGCCTCCTAGTTCTAATATTCTGGGCCTGGGTGAACAACAGTTCTCTGTTTATTTGATTCACATCCTTTGTGATATTACAGACATCTGTCATAGCCACCCTCAAACTTCTTTCCAAGCTAAAGACTCCTAGCCTATATAAGTCTCTCCTGGTATGGCACCTGCTTCATACCCCTGATCATTTTGATTGCCCTTCTCCATACCCATAAAGCCCAACCACCCTGTCACCAACCAGAAACACTTCCCTGAACTCCCTACTTAAAAAATATGTTTTTATGCATTTTAATATTGGTATTTATCAAAAATTGCTTTATTTATCATAACATGGAGGACATCCAATCACTTTAGAGGCAATGTTCAATAGTGAGAAAAAGGACCAAAAATTGAACAAATCACTTTTATAAGCAACCATAATGTCTCCCCTTCTCATAACCTAAGGCTCTGAATGGATGAGTTGTGCAGTGAGTGGCATTGCCAATTTGAACAGCATTCATCAGTTCTACCATCCCCCAGCTTTGGACTTCCCCATTCACAGCTGTTTGCTCAATCTTCCTGTAACAGACTATGGTTTTATCGTAATATTTCTGGGTTAAATGTATTTGTGCTGTAATAATGTTACATATCTTAGTTTTCCTGC